GTTAGTTGCGTTTTACTCTGATATTTTGACAGATCCTATCAATTGGTATCAGAGCACTCCGATCCTAGGGGTGCTTTGAACGGTTTGTTGCGTGCCATGGAAATTCGTTTGGAGATTATAGAAGAGATGAGGAGGAGGAGTGAGGAGAAAACAGAAGAACGTTTCCGCAGAACAGAACAAAAATTGAATGAGATCGAGCAGCTTTTGCGAAGCAAGAGAAGGTCTAGTCGAACATCATCGTTACGGTCTTTCTTGCAGTAGGAGATCGGAATCTTCAAGATCAGAAGAGAGTGTCAACAAAGATGTTCACCTCGTTGATTGGCTAACTTCTAAGCTGGAGCCTCCTCGAGGCCATGGTGTGCACGTTGTAGAAAGCTATCGAAGGGAGTTGTTGCAGAAACCAGCTACGTTGACGGAGAAGATGACGAAGGAGACGAGTGTGTTGGCGATAAGAAACGAGGCTGGGGTCCAATATGGATTTGGGGTTGGGGGAAGACGTAGTGGGCTTAGTCGAACAGCCCAACCCTTTCGCAATAATCAGGGCGCTTCTACAAAGCACATGACTCACTTAAGTCACCATGGCAGCCCCAATGACTCACGTGCCTCTGCTAATACTGTGGTAAAAGACTCGCGTGCTACTGCCCAAACACGTGTGAACTCAGGGGTCTCTTTGGCGAATACCAATCCCGTGGAGAGTTCTGGGAGCAGCGTAGCTAGGGTTGATGGTAGGCGGCTCACTCAGAACGAATTGCATCACAAGTTGCCAAGGGGAATATGTTTCAAGTGTGAGCAGAGATATCGTTGCCAGAACGCACAATTACAAAAGTCGGTGATCGAAGAAGAAGATGGGGAAGACACCACGGATGAAGGGGAACCAACCAATGGTGTACACGGGGTGGGAGGTGAACAGAAAAGGGAAATGGAGGCTCTGCAACTCTCGATCTACAGTGATGTAGGGATCTCTTTGAACATGATTGTGAGTTTGGAGCGTTCCTCATTACATAGCCATGGAAGCAAAGTGCGGCTGGAAACATGAGGGACGTTGAAAGAGGATCTGATTAGGGTAAACAGGGAGTTGGGCCATTTTTTTTTCGGCCCAAACTCTTAACTCATAAATTACAGACTTGGCCCAATTTGAAGGGAGTAATTTCTCTATGGCTGTTTTATGTAAGGAATGGGTATGGGAGCCAACAAGTCTGATTGAGTTAAGCGGGCCCAAAAAATGTGGGTGTCGCCAAATTGGTCTGAAGTGGGTTGTCCAAGAATATGGAATCTTAAGCCAACCCATCTGGGCATATAAATCACAACGGAGTGTGGGTGTTGGAGGAGACGGTGTCATATTCTCCTTTCCATGGCTGCCTAGGGTACTGTTAAAAGCGTTCTCGTTCGATGGAGGATCTATTGATTATCCATAAGAGCGTTCCATGTCAGTCATGAAGGGGAGGGGGAGGTGCTAGACTGCAATGGGTCCAGGTATGTTAGTTACGGTTTGACTATTCTTGTGCTTAAGGGTGATAATGAAAAGACTGCAAAAGGGCTGTGGGACCCTGGAGGAGATCAATATGCTGCAATAAGAAACTGGTCATTGCAATTCAAGCAATGGGATCCCGGTGGAAGGTTCTTGGCGCTGCACCTCACCTTGAGGGCAAGGTGAATGTTTAGGGGGGGAGTATTGATAGGAATATAGTCGTGTAAGTATGTGTAGGTATATGTAAGTTGGGTAGTAGGGGATTATGGAAGCAATGACAAGTCTGTTAGTCAGAATATTCCAGAAGAATGAGTTTGTTAGAGGAAAAAAGGAGGGCAGTGCTGAGGTGGCAAGGCTGTTAGAGGGAATAAAAGGTGTAGAGTGGCATGAGCAGAGGCATGGGAATAGATTGGAACTTGGGACTTGGGCTGAGAAACCAGATTGGAAGAGAATCAGAGCACTCTCTAATTGCTCTGGAAACCATTTAGCTTTTCTTGTATTTTTCCTTTATTTCATTACTGTCTCATATTGTTTGTACCTTCTTCCATTGATTAATATACAGAAAATCTAGTTCTTCTGGGCCATTTCTTTGGTGTTAGTTGCGTTTTACTCTGATATTTTGACAGATCCTATCAAAACACCATAAACATATAGAAATAAAATAGAAATAAAATCATAGTGACCAACTACAAGTCAATATGCCAAACAATGGAAAACACTTAATAGCACCAAACACAACAAATAGTTAATGGTGGTGCGAACAGACCGACAGAAGACGACGGAAAAGACAGTAGTGTCGGAGCTTCGCCGAAAAACATGAACGAGGTCGCACAACAACAACTGGTTCGATGAACAGATCCGACGGAAAAACAGGTCGGACGAAATTGGAGCGGACTTTCGCGAACAGGGACAGACTTTCTTGCGAACAATTGACGGTGCATGAACAGATCTGGAACCAGCAAGGAGAAACGGCAGCGATCTGCAACAGGGTCAGACGCGAACGACGGAGAACATCAAACGCGAACAGCAAATGCGAATGGTGGAGACTCAAAGAAGGTGTGTGGCCCAAACGATCTCCGTTGAACGAAATGAAGGCCGATATGGAAAGAGGAAGGATGGGCGACCTTGTCTTCCCTTGGTCGACGGCGAACGGCCGCTACAAAACGCCGTACGCATCGGAGGAAGGTGGCGCGTGACATCCACGCGCAGAGACTGAAGTGGAGCGTGAAAGCGCTTGAGAACTATTACGACGGTGGGATTGGCGGCTTTGAGTAGATCAACTCCTTCTGAGTCTGTTGACGTACTTGTTGATCAAAACGGTCGCTGAAATTTTTTTCGGTGGCGGACGACGGTGGCTGGAAACTTACGACGGTGAGCTTTCTGCAAAGAACCATTAAACCAAAGACCCCACGACGAAGGAGTCACCGGAAAAGAAATGGCAGCGGGAATTCCTCAAAGAAGGTGATATCTCTTCACAACCGAATTAAAATTATGGAAAAGAGAAATAAGAGAAGCGGATTAAGATTTCTCTCGTTAGGCTTTAGATACCATGTTAAATATCAGGATCCGAGAGATATCATTGTATTCCTTGTAGTGTTAAACTACACAATATTGGTTCTATTATATAACAAACCAAATGTAAAATACAAAAAGATACATACTATGTGGGACTTCTACACCACTATTCTTTACAAGGAAGCTTAATGATCAAGAAGCTTCTAACTTATTCTCAATGCTGGTACTCTGGATTATTTTCAATTTCTTAGTTCCCTAACGTGGGATGTGGACCTTACACTCTTCCAAATTTTGCACTTGCAAATCTTTTCTTTCTTCTTTTCTTTTTTTTTTAAATTCCACTTTTAAATACTTAATCCGGAATCCTTCTACTCAATACTGCCCATTCAGCTCTCTTTGGACAGCCATACATAGTATGATAATACTAATGACCTGCTCCAAGTGCATGAACCACATAAAATTGTCTTCAGATGTTATCTTACGCGTTAGAAGAGTTTGCTAGGTAGTTCTATGGGGTTTCTGATGTGCAGTGGCTTTGTCCTCCCACTTTTTTCCTTTGTTTTGGGAGAAGGAAAGAGGCCAAGCCATCTAGGTGTTGTGAAACTGTGCTCTCTATATGGGCTTGTGGTGCATTTGATTAGATCAAATGTGAGAATATTTGTTTGTGGTTTCTCTCTTTATAAATTCTCTTTTATCATAGAAAATTCCTTTTTTTTCTTTTTTTTTTTGGAAAACTCTTCAAATTTCTTTTACATCTCTCTTGAGTCATCCAGAGGGTGCTATCTTCCTCGCCCGAAAAAAAAAATGCAGTTTGTGATGAAAAGGTTAATGAATCTTGACTGTATTTTGATTAGGATTAGGATTAATTGTAGACTTGTACGGTTGTCACTAGGTTAATGTTTACATCAAGTACGTTTGAGTATCTGCAAAATATGCAAATTTTACATATTTGTAACACTGTATATCATGTTCTTTGACCAAGTTTAGTATTTTAAGAACTAAAATTTAGTTATCAGAGCTTCCTTGAATGAGTCAATGACAGTTCCCTTGGCATGGGAGTTATCGGGGGGAACCTCATTGAGCTGTAGGGAGGCAGTGGCTCCCCTTAAACTATGTTAAACTCTATTACTTTCTATGTAATGTTTTTCATTTTTTTCTAAAAGTGTCCCCCTCGCCTAATTGTTTATAAACTAGTCTAGCTCTGCCACTGGGAAGTATATTGGTTATCTACATTCTGTCCACTATCTGATAATCTTTGGAGAACCAATCTGGTTGACAGCTAACTGTTATTTTTTTAATACTTCAAATTAAGGAAATGGAAGAAGCCTCTAGAAATTGCTGGCAGTTTTAATTGCACTGAAAAAAATGCTGAACTTCTGAATGCCTATGCTTACAGAAAAAAGAAATTAGCTTGTTTGCTTTATCTAGTGAATTAGATCAATGGGCTGAAAAATGAACGCCTGGCTTAGACACCACTAGAGTCTTGATTCCCGAACCATCACATAAACTTGTCAATTCATGTTTACTTATTTGACATGGTTGGCTCGTTTATTCTTGCTGTAATTAATTTATAATTACTGCGGTTTAATATTTGGACTTCCCTTATAAGAAAGATAATAAACTTATTAATAAAATAAGTTGAAACTCGGAAGCTTTGTGATAGGTAACTTTGGGTGATTTCTTGTTTAGCTGCTGCTGAATTATTAATTTCATTTCATGCATGGGCACCATATAGATTGCCTTTGTTTATCCAGCACAGTGCTTCTTCCATTTCCGTGCTTGTAAAAGTTGCAGTAGTTATGTACTAAAAAAAAATAAAAAATTTGCAGTAGTTTGGATACATACAAAGTGGTGGACATTGGGATAAGAGTAAGATTTGATCATCGATAGTTGCTGTTGAAATTGCCATTTAGTCCTGTGGATTGGGCATTGGAGTCAAAAACCAATAGTCACCTTGCACCCATCATGTGGTGTTCTCTATTTCTAAGTTTCTTTTGTTTTTTCCTTCTTTTTTCAGTTTGGCAAAAGCTTGAAGAAGAAAACCAAGAGTTCTTCAAGGCATATCATGCAAGATTGATGTTGAAGCAGCAAATAATGCAATTCAACAGGTTGCTGGAACAACAAGTGCAATTAATGCACTTACACCCAACTGCAGTTGCATCACTATCTACCTCTAATGGGTCACATATCCCTACAGTTTCATCACTACCTAACTCTAATGGGTCACATATCCCTGCAAGTAAGTCTATTACCTCCATGAATATTGTTACCATCATTACCTACCTCTAATGGGTAGTTATACAATTTTTGCTAGTTCAAGCACTGGTAGTAGTTGGGTTTTATCTTCTTTGTGAATGGTGTGAATTTGGAGTTTTGACTTTGTGGCAAAGGATGATGTGGTTTTTGGTATATAGGGGTTTCATTTTTGTGAGATAATGAGAGAGAGTGGATACGTGCCATTCGAGAGGTTAGAAGCTCTCATTCAGGGAAGAAAGTGATTTGGGAGATGAAGAAATCCACGTGGATACCAATGTGGCAATAAACATGCTACAAAAGCGCATAACATGCCACGTGTATACCAATGTGTTCATTAATTTACCATATGCAATCCATATACCTAATTGAGATCATTGGTTTCTCCAATAGGACTGAAATGTACATTTCGTTTTTGTGACTCCCCCAATCAAGTTTCATGCCAGCATGTCATCTCAATTAGTTGAATCTAATTCGATCTAAAATTGGTGTGTGAGTTTTGTTGAGTTGCAACCGAGAGCAGAAGACATGATCTAACCACTAAACACCCCCTGGCCTCAACACCCTGTATATATCATGCAGTGCAAACTCATGGCATGTGGTATCCAGTTGCTTATAGCATGCTTGGACTGCATAATAACCTGCGTGTTTTCAAAGAATGAAAGTCTTTGAGAGATGCTGAGATGCATTAGTACCAAGCCCCTCGATGTAATGAAGTTATGAATGAATAATCCAAATTCAGTGTGCTTGTGATGATTGTCACACTATGTTCCCATATTTTGGCAGCCAATGTCAGGTCCAGTATGAATTGTTCCTCCGGGCTTCGTTTTAAGGACTTTATCTATCCCAAACTCAATCCTCCAATGTCAAAGAGGACTTACTCTTCTTCTTGCCCATGCTTGCAGTCATAGTGCACAGGCTTATTCTTTCTGTCAATTTTGCGCTGGTAGATTTTACAAGCATAGGAATTCTAGACAACGTTGGTGTTTGGTGGTATGTCCATGCATAAAGCCAAGCAGCCTCCTCGTTAAAATAGCAAGCCTATCTTGATAAACAAGTTGATTTTGAATTTAAACATGAATTGATCAAATACTTAGGCATAAATTTTAGAAGCACCAGTTTTAGACAGCAAGGAGTGGATTGAGAACATTTTCACATATAGTGACCTATTTGAAATATTTGTGAAGGGACCAAATCGAACATTAGTGTTGGGTATATGGACCAAAAGTTTAATTTAACACAACTAATCAAACACAAGTTAGTGCCCAATCATACTTCGTTAGGCAGGTAAGATGAGTAGATCATGGTGTTATGACGATTAGTGGTGGCAAAGAGTGATTTGAGAACATTTTCACATTTAGGGATCAAATTGAATATTTTGTGTAGGGATTAGATTGAAAACGAGCATCACCTATAAGGACACAAATTTTAATTTGACCAAAATTATATTTTGTTTTACCTGCCTTGATATATGGTTACTATATTTTTGAAAGCAAAATGGGTGATTTTATTCATAGAAATTTTTTTGTCTAACTTTATAAAGAAGAAAATGAATTTCCTGGAAGGTGAAAGAGACTATCATAAAATGATTTTATGACTGTTTCTGCCTATATTCTTTGTAAAATTTGTCATTCTAAAATTTCAAAATTCAGTTTTTAATGTTCCAGAGATGTAATGAAAAGATATAGAATGATTGAGGAGATATTGAATGTTTGGTTCCAACCATTTTTGTAATTTGGCATCAAATGTCACTTTATTTTACAGTACCTGACAATCCAGTGTGCTACGCTGCTGTGCAAACCCGAGCAGGTTTGAAGCCAGAAAATATGCAACATCCTGTTGATTCCAGTTTATCTAATGTGTTTAATAATGGTGGGTCATCACTCCATACAAGTATGCATGCTGCGGTTGATATGTCTGCTCATGGCAACAGGATTAATGGCCCTCCGAGCATGCTTTCTGGTCAAAGCTCAAACATGGGTCTGATACAAGGAATCAATGGGGGGATGATCAAATCAGAACCTGGATATTCAGGTTGTTCTCCTTATATGTTTGGTACTGATGGAAATGTCCTGGAGGCTCGCCAGACTATCGGTGATGCTTCGGTTACATCATTCACCAATGTGGAGTCCAACTCACATTCACTGAATGAGGCAGTCCTTGATCCAGACACTTCTTCATTTGGATTTTTGGGGCAGATTCCTAGAAATTTTAGCCTTTCAGATCTAACTGCTGATTTTTCTCAGAGTTCTGGTATGTTCTTTCTCTTGTTTTTGTGTGGGTCCATGTGTGTGTCTGCATGCCTGCTTACTACTGATGTTCCTCTACTAATGTCAGGGTGATGAAACCTCAAGAATTATCACACCAACAGAATTAAAATACTGAAATATGTATTATCGAGAATCAGACTTACAGACACCAATATTCAGAAATAACTACTGTAAATGGCCACTATAGCCTTAGAGACACTATGAAATTGGAACACAGAGGGCTCCACAGCACCTCTCCCAATCCAATACCCCAACCAATTCAATTACAAAACATCATACACCCTCGCCCCGCCCCCAACTCTCTCCCTATATCCGTCACACCCCCTCTCCTCTCTCCTGTAACTAACTCACGCTTTCCTTCCTCAATCCTGTTATGTTCCCCCCTCCTTCCTTGGATCCAAAGTGTCTGGGCCTGTACCTGCATCTGGCCCACTCACTGCTACCAGACCCTCTGTTGTTGGGTTCTTTTTCTTCTTTCTGTTATACACCGTCTTGAAGGTCACAAGGAAAGTGCACTTTCCTGATGGTGTTGGGTAAAATGCTGGTCATGTTGATTGTTTAAAGTTTCAACTCGCTTTCTAAGATATTATAGACGAGTGTATCCGCAATTAACAAACCTCAGATTGGATTAATAATTAGCACTAATAGTTCAGTTTCTTGTTTGACAGATATACTGGAGAGCTATTCTAGGTCACCCTTCATGGATACTGGTAACGAGAACTTCCTTGAAAGAGAACAAGGTAAGAAACAATCTCTCTTCACTTTGGGTGTGTGATTCTGTTTTCTAGCACTCTTTTTGAAAAGAAATAATTTTTTTCTATTTCTGTGCCTTGGAAGAGTTTGTGGGGAAAAAAATACGTTTGATAACGTGTTTTATTTTTATTCCAAGAAACAGAATTATGTTTAATAACAAAATACAAATCTATTTCTTTATTTTTGAAATAATTACAGAGATTTCATTCAATGTGTAAAATAACCAAATCGCAATAGATATTTTAACATCATATTTAAAAAGGCCGACCCAGTTCAAGACCCACTCCGTGAGTGTCTGGGGAAGGAAAAATTTGAGTCAAGCCTCACCCCTGCTTTGCAGGGGAGCCGAGTCGAACCCCTGACCTGGAACACCACAGTAAGCAAGCTTACCGCTGAGCCAGGCCGGCCCTTCTAACATCATATTTAACAAATAATAATAATTTTATGAAAATATGAAAAAATATATAAAAATATAATATTTTAATACAATGAAAATGCTAAAACAAATATAATATTTTGTCTTATGAAAATACTCAAAACAATGTTCAAACCAAAATCGGATATGCCTAGTAATTTCTTGAAACTTAAATATTCTTGTCTAAGTTTATTCATCTTGTTTTTCAGTTGACTTTGGGTGTAATCAAGCCCTGTCTGTTTTGTAAATTCGTCTTTCATGTTTTTCCATGCTTTCTTACTAAAGGTAGTTGTTGTTCTATTCCCTTTTTTAACTTCTTCAACCATCAAATTAACAAAAACAATTGTGTTCTTGTCAGTCCATTTTGCTGTGAAACCTTAGGATGCCATTCTCCTTACTAATAACATACGTCAGACGATTAATCATAACACTAAACATTAGAAAATAAACCACATATTGATTATGTATCTATGAGTTACTGTTACTCAGAGCACGTTGAATGCAACCAACAAAGAAACAGAAAGAATTTAAACCAAAACTAACGTAGATGTATTATATTAAACCAGAACACAAATGAAAAAGATGAAAGAATTTAAACAAAAAAAAAAAGGTCACAATTAAGGTTTGCGGTTCAGTTCCCAAAACAAAAGAGGTTTAACTCTCAGTTCGTCACTACATGCAATGGAAACTCTAAGGGAACTGAGAGATAAGCAGAGAAAAATATGTGGGAGATAAACACGAATGTGTGGGAAATTTTCAACTTTTTTCATAAAAAATATAACTAAGAGGGAGGGGGAGGAAGAAGAACAATGTTTTGAAGAGATGATCTCAAGGAGAGAAAGAGAGGAGAGGAGAAGAGAGGTTTACCTGATGGGTAGAAGACAGTCTGGTTGGAAACAGAAGGAGGCAGAAGAGGCGCGTATTAGGGAGTGAGAGAGAAATGTTTCTTTTTTTTTGTCCTGGCATAAAATAACCAAAAAAAGTTTTTTTTTTTTTATTCCCTAGAACAGTAATTAAACTAGTTCATTCTCGAGAACAAAAAATAAACCGATTTCGTCAAACATCGTTTCTGATTTTTTCCGTTCCTTGGAATAATTTTTTTTTTAAAATTGATTTGGAAAGATTGTTATGCACACCGTTATAGTCTGTTGCTTTGTGCTGCAATGTTGACACTATTATTGTCTTGGTGTTAAATTAGACAATAATAGGCTGGACTCCATATCAGAAGGCTTAAGTTATGAAGACTTTGGGAGTGAATAGTTGATACTCGCTATTTAGTCGTCAGCATCTTTGAGGTATGTTCTTTACCTCTATTGTTAGGGATCAGTTATGCAGAAACTGCTGTGAAGTGCAATTAAATCAAGCTGCTATAAAGCCCCCCCTAAAAAAACCCTTCTAACCTCTGCTATTGTTTTTAATTTCATTACATGCATGCATAGTTACAAAATAAATAAACGCTTTAGTTATAGTCTTGATAATTGTTTATCTTGCCTGCAGGTTGAACAAAATGCTTAGAGTGGTGTTGTACAGAAAAATTTAGAGGTTAAAATTTAAACTTCCGGGTCACATACTTTGGTGTGCATAAAGTTCACTCTCCTCGTTCTGCCGTGAGGGGATATGAAATTTGGAATACTTGCATGGAAGGGAAAAGGATGGTGCAAATAAATAACTTTTTTTTTTTTTTTTTCGTTTTTGCTTGTATTTGCCCTTTGGTATTTGCTTTGCAGAATGATTTTATTCTACATTGTGTTGATAGTTGATACTAGAATTGCATTAATATATCTTGTTTTTATTAACTGTACTAAAATTTTATTTTTAAGGAATAATGAACAAGAGTATTATTGAATTGGTTGACTCTTTGGTAAAACTAGTAGGAATTAAAAGATTCCAGAGAGTCCAAGGGAATGTAGAAAGATTGGCGGTCCTCATATAACTTGCTAATAGAAACATTTTTCTTAGGCCAATTCGGTACAGCATGTGGTGCAGTACCCTCTTTCTGTCGGCAACTCTCTTGTCGGTTGGATCGAATGGTAAAATTCAACGCGTAAATTAATGGTTAATTCTACTAGGTTATCTCATCTGTATCATTTGTAAAGATTTGTTGAATGTCCTTTTATTAGATTGGGTCAACTTCCCATTCCCTTAAACCTTTTTGGGTGTTGTAAACCCGAGAAATGAATTGTTCTACCAAATTAGAAGTTTTGGGGGTGGGAAGCATGGACAATGCATGCAACCTTAGCCTTATGCCATGATACGAGAGACACCGGTCCTGCAAAGTTAATAAAATAGCTCATGTCTAAGGAAAATAATCAAATAAAATAGCTAATTAAAAACTAATATACAAAAGATCAAGCAGTTTGAACGTATGGACACTTCGTAAAGTATTTTTGCGTAAACATAAAGGTTTGCGATCCATTATGTTACAGGAAAGAAATTTAGTCTTAAAAAAAAATATAATTATAATATTAAAAGTTATTTTTTTTTCCTCTTCTCATAAGATTATCAGATGATGTGGTGGAGAGAAAAAAAATAACTTTAATATTGTAACTATATACTATCCGTAATATATAATTTAAATTTTTCTTCCTACCATGTGATTCTTATATTTCCCAAACATAAATTGTCAATTTTGGTCCCATTTCCTTTCTCTTTGATTTATATTGGAATGGCTGGTAATGTGCGTAAAGGTAATCCAGCCAAAAAAAATAGCATAGCTGGTTTTTTTTATTAAAAAATAATAAATAGAATAAATCTTTAATCTGGATCTTTAAAGATCATGGAGTTGTCACATACTCACCTTAATCTTTCAAAGTTTTTATTGTTGAACTAGTCTTTCAAATATAACCATATTTGTCCTCCAAGGGTTTTTTTTTTAATAACCAAATTTCTTTTAAAGATATAAAATTATCAGAAAATTCATCTTTTTTGTGTTATTACTTTAGTCTTTCATAAGGACAAAAATAACTATGTTTTTTATAAATAAATTTGACAGAAGAATATTTGGAGGACTAGTACAATAACACATTAAGGTTTGAGACTAATGACAAAAATCTAAAGGTGACAACTACTTAATATTCAAAATGCCAAATTGAGGGATTACTCTAATAAATACTACTCTCCAATTTAATTTAATTTTTGTTGGTTTCCAGGAGTATCTCCACCCATTTGAAAGAGACTTCCCATTCGTGATATAGAGCCTGAAAGATTTTACCAATAACCTTAAAGTATTTTGCTTAGGAATTGAATCAACGATCTTTCAGCCATAACAATTCGTTCCTTGAGCACAATTCGCTTACCAACTGTGCCACCCCTTGAAATTACTCATCAATTTTTAATTTGTTTAATATTGAAAAACTCAAATTTAACTGGATACTCCATTTCCAGTATTTGATATAACTTCACTGAGAGATGCAAGGAAACCTACGGCTATCTATATATTTATTTTTTTGGTAAGATTACATTCAACAATTTTCTATTTAAAAGAAAAAATAGAAATTGGATAGATTACAGCGGAATTAAAAGAGGGTTTATCTTTGCATCACTGCTGCTTAATCCTGTCAATTGAGCGCAACTTCATTGCCTACATTCAACACCTTACGAGTATATTTTCAATTCATGAGCAAATTAATAGAAAAATATATATACCAAAACAAAATATCTAAATATAAACTGATTTTTTTTCATTACCAATTATGCACAATCTTTTTTCACAACTAATTTTGACATACACTAAACTGATAACTATAAGAATACAATATAATATGAAGTTCTGGTAAAAGATTGCGTTGCTCCAAGAGCATTGACCCGACAATATCCCGAAAACAATGAACACAAATGCAGAAACACAGTTAATTTCTCGTTTCTCACCAGCTTTTGAGAAATGAATTCTTCTATAATTAACCCCAACACATTTTATCACTTTGAAGCTGTGATTTTTTATTTTCCTTTAAAAAAGTTTATTAGGATTTACAAATGGAGACTCTTATTTTGCAATAATTCATTTCAACACATTCTTGTTTCTATTTTATGATTTGTAAGAGGTTGTTATATCCACTTAAACTCATGCATAGTGATTGAGACAATTTTTAAAAGTTAATGGGAGCTTTTAAAGCTAGATCCAAAGATAGTAGAGATTAGAGCATAAATGTAACCAAAGCAATCCAATAGATCCTAGTAGTTTGATGATAATTTGTGAATGAATCCAACAACATGGACAGCATGTTCAAAGGGACAAATAGATTGGGAGATTTCTCAGCCTTTCTGGCCAGTGAATTTTTCACTCAAACATGATAATAAGCAAAACAAAATCCAATTCCTTAAGGAGCAAAAAGCAAGGAACTTAAATGCCATCTTCATTTCCTAGTCTTTTAGCTTTAAAGCTTTAAGACGACTTTTATCATTTAAAAGGTGTGATTTATCTTGTTAACAAATTCAAGTTTTAATTAACAAAGAAAATCACTGACATCATACCAAAATTTCATTCCTCACAGAGATAAATGCAATAAAAAAAAAAAAAGCTCGCAACACACTCTTTGCCACTCTCTTTTTAACAACTCTAAAGTTTTATGCTAACCTCACTGACTAATAGAGAGTGGTTAGCATGCTATTTCACCAAAAAGTTCTGGCTAGAATTTCTCATATGTAAGCAAAGCATAGTTGACTATAAAAAATATGTTCCAGCTCGATGACAGAAGAGGGTATATGGAGTTCAGCCAATAACAATTTGATAACTAGCAAACAACTGATGTAGCCATATGGTGATTAGGAAAGTGCAGTTGTAGCATTAAAATATTTAGAAGGACAATTATATATCTGGAATGTTCTAAGCATCAACTAAATCAAAACATTATCAGAATTCCATGTGTTTACTTTACATACCTTCACTTATAATCAAAAGTAGCACTCTTCAAATTTCAATTTACTCGCTTTTTGTTTTTTCTTTTACATGGTGTGTCAACCTGCAAACCACTTAGCCTCAAAACTCAACATAATTTACAGTTAACGGTTTTTATGATAGCTTATGGTCTAACTTAATGCAGCTGCCACACCATAACATTCATCTCATGATGTAATTGGTCAAGAGTTTGCAGTATATATTTAATCTCAAACACCGTGTCATGCTTGGGGTAAAGATGGGGTAGAGTTAGGAACTTAGCATAAAGGTCACAGGCTCATAAAGATGAGGTAGGGTGAGGAACCCAAAAAAGGAAAACCTTAATATGGTGAAAGATAAGGTGAACTTCTGTAAGGCTCTCATGTTCTGTGTTTCTTTTGCTAAAGAATCATCCAGTAACCAGAAGCTCAATGAGTCAATGGTTATCATATTTAACAAACTTCTTAAAAGCGAATCCCTACCATAAAAATGAACAAAACTTAGTAAATCGCCACACTAATGCTAACTATGGATGAATCTAAACTCCCAATTAAATTCATATAAGTCTATCACCTAATCAAACAAGAACTGAGAACTGATTGATAGTTTTCGAATTCAAATTTATCTATAAAACGTTAACAAAACATGCTAGCAAGCAATCAACAATCTATAACAAATAACCTCAAACAAGTCACCCAACTAATTCCTCGATTTAAGGAAACTCCACACAACAAAAACATCATCCTTTCCTAAAAGCACAACCCAGGATCACCCAAACTACCTTAAACACACCAACCCACAAACATAAAAATAAGATTTACATGAATACCCATTACATGAAAACAAGTATAGTTTCAAGGGTAGTTGAAAATTACAGAACTTGATGTATACCCAATAAGGCCAATTGGATCAGCCAACATGGAAGGGGCCAATATCGCCAGAGCGAAGAGCGCTGGCAAACTCATCAGCAATAGTCAAACATGAAGTAATCCATCCATTTAGAGCTATCCACACCATCTTTGTGATCCACATGGCCACATCAAGTGCCATTGCCATGGATGCTTCTTCTTCTTCAGGCGTTGGGGCTTTCAAGGAAGATGTGAAGATTGAAGGAAACCCATTCAAGAAGATGGGAAGAGAGTGTGTTTTGCTTCTGGGAAGGTGGTTGTGGGAATCATCAATTTATTTCCCATTGCCTGGACTCAACAACCCCAAAGCAAAACTATGAATGAAATTTGCGTCTTAAATTAATAAATATTATGTCACATTCCCAGTGGCAACCCTATTCTGTGGAAGCGAGCAGTGAAACATAGGAGAAAAAAGAAGAAGTAAATCTTAATTAAGATTTTGATTTAATCGGTAATGAAAGACAGAACATGATAGGTAGAATATCCTGTCATTGTTATATACGTATAGCAGATAAGATTATCTCCTATAATATTTTATTTTATTTTAAAAAAAAATATCTGTCATTTTAAAAGATTAAATTTTGTATTATTTTAAATGAAACTACCATAAATTTTTATCCTTTTTCTCCACTATAATACTTTCATTTTCTCTCCTCTCCTGCTTTTGTGGGAGAGAGATGGTAAAAATCTACCCTTTCTCCCCTATGTAATATTTTCACTAAAACACATTAGTTTCATTTAATAATATAAATGTGTATCCTTTAAAAAAAATTTTAAATGAAGATGTTTGAGCACATTTGTTTCGCCTCTTTTTCAATTATTATATTAAAAAAAAATTAGGCAATGTTAACAAAAATGATTATTTTTTTTATAATTAATCGATTCACATATACACTAGCCTAATAAATTTACTGAGATAGGCACAAATAGTATGAACCCATTAAGATGGTTACAAAATTTATTAATTATATTAAAATTATTTCTAGAGTAAAGTCCCTAACAAAAAATATGATCATCTCTTTAGTGTCTTACAAAAAAAAATTAGTTTTGAGATTCCTAAAAAATTCAAAGTGGACCTATTTAGTTGAAATCATAGTCTTTTATAATTTCAAAAAAGGCCCACATTAATTTCTCAAAAGGACTAAAATAGTCCACTTTAAATTTCATAAGGATCAGACACTTAATTTTTTTTATAAGAAACTACAGTGAGGATCGTATTTTTTATTAAGAAGTGAAAAAAAACACTTTACTCTTATTTCTGTTTAGGTTGGAAGTTTGATAATCCATGTTTAGCTTGGAGCACTTTTTATGCGAGTTTGCACGTTGAAAATTGAAGTGATCTTTTCACTTAGTCCCTTCAAATTCAATGGCTCGAGTGCAAATAATATGAATAAATAGGTTCTGATGTAGTATTTTTTTAAATTGCAATAAAAGAGTAAATAAATATTGGGTTGAGAATATGAAAAAAAAAAAGTTGTACATGTGAAAGTATTCACAACTATTAAATATAAAATTATTTATATATTTTCATTCAATAGTTTGAATTCTTGAAATAGTTGATTTATTTTCTTGTATGAAAATCTCTATAATTATTGATTATGAATCCTTGCATGGTAATGACCATTCCCAATCATTTTCGTCCCCTTACGATAGAAGCACATCCTTTTTCCAAAGCGAGAGAAAATGAAAATTTTAATTCAGTTCACGTGATTATATTTTCTACTTTATTTGGCTATTTTTTCAACTATACAATATAAATAACCAATCAATTATAACTGAAAATTTTTCATATCTCAAATTTAACACTTTAAATAAAATAAATTACCTAGTACTTTTTTTTTTTGGATTACCTAATATTTTTTTTAGCATATTTAAGGGAGTCAGCCTCTACCAATTATAGCAGATTTTGTTAGTATCTTTCATTTTTTTTATTAGAACGGACAGACCCAGATCATATATAAGATAATGATATAATTAAAATGGAAATTTTCTTATTTTTCTAATAGTTTTTTAACAGGGTTGTTAAGCAGTTTTGTCAGTTATTGTGATTTATGATGTCATAATTGTGTATAAAAACACATGTAAATTAAATTCAGTGCATAGGTATTCAAGAAATAAGAAAAGTTTCTCTTTCTCCTTCGACCGTGTTATCTTTCTCTCGATAGGGTTCGCGTTCCTATCATTTGGTGCTTTCGTCAAATGTGCAAGATAGCAGATGAATTCTCTTCTTTTCAACATGTTGAACAAAACATGTAAATTCAGTGTATGAGTATTCAAGAAATAAGAAAAATTTCTCTTTCTCCTTTGATCTTGTTCTCTTTCTCTCCATAGGATTCGTGTTCCTACCAATAATACAAGCACAGTCAACATAGTATAACTCCAAGTCCATAATGTCAGTCATGTTTTGTTTTGCAATTTCTCTTACGCTCAAGTAATTAAAACATTTTCTACAGCGACGGAGTCAGGATTTAATTTTTAGCCGGGGCCAAAAAATTTGACATATCAAATTATCAAAACATTTATCGTAATTACACAAATCTATTAAAAAAAATTTGACATATCTCCAAGCTAACCTTTTAATTTTTTTAAAAATATAATACATTTATGATATATATTATTCATTTAAAGACATATTCTAACATCATGACTTATAACACTAATTTTCAAAGTAATTGGATTGATGTTATTTTAACAAATAATAAATATTTATTTAAATTTTAAAATATAAAATTAAATTAGTAAAGAAAGTGCAAATTATATGTATATATACATATATGAAATTTTAATGTGATTTTTGTGAATATTTTCATGTGATTTTTATGAACATTGTTTCATGTGATGTTAATAAAAATTTATTTCATGTGATCTTTGTGAATAAGAAATTTATCTTTTATATTTCACTTTGGTTTGGGCCTATAAACTTTAGTTTGCAACTTGGTAAGCCTTACAGACCGTATTAAATTTTTTAATTTTTTATAATAGGTCGTGTCAGACACATAAATCAAGCCTTTAATAAGCTAATAAGCCAGTATAGGCTCTAAATATTTTACATAGACTTAGGCTATCAAAGCCAAAGCCTAGCCTAACTAGCCCCCCTCATTTACATCCCTAGTCGTGACTTATGAAGAACATCAACGTAGAGGGATAAAGCAAACTTCATAATTAAAAAGAAACACGGAACAATCAACAACAAATGTCTAAACTCATTTAAAAGACATTAAATCCACATAAATCATTTAATCAGTGTTTAGATATTTTAAGAATACAAAAAAAAAATAAAGAAGTTGTTAATGGGCATGTACAAGAAATTTTCATACTCCATATATATATACATATATATATATATATATATATATATACATATAACTTCATTGATTTTTTTTCTTTAACAATTTCCACTGATTAATCGCCAAAATTTTCATTCATGTTGTGAAATCAAATACAAATAACACAAGAAACAATTCAATTCCATTACCAATAGCAACTGTAGCTCTATATTAAAATAATTTAAAAAAAAAAGGTAAACGTAAAACAACACTTCATTTTTCAAAAGAAATAAAATCAATAAATACAACCACACAAAAAAAAGTTGTAAATAAAAGAAAGGGGCATGAATTTCACTCATGTTTGAAACACCCAGTAAACAATTATGGTCAGCAAAGATCAAGGATTTTTCTTTTACAAAGTTCAAAAATGTAAATCGATATTTTCCCCAGCGTACAATACAATTACCAATGCATATTCCAAGAACATGTATCCGTTAAATTTTAAGAAAGGAACTAAACATTGTATCTTGTCGCAGAATGACTGGCTTCCGAGTGGTGAGTATGAATAAGAAAAAAAAAAAGTTAAAAGAAAACCCTAATTGGAAAAAGATGAAAGAAGAAGAAGAAGAAATTAAGAATAAAATAATCCGTTATCACACACAAAGCAGCTCCAAATCTTCATCTAATACTACTGTTACAATTTTAGCTAGGGCCCAATTATAATTACTTATATAAATCATATATAATAAATAAAATTTACTGAAATATAGCTGGGGCTCGGGCCCTACCTAAATAAAACAAGGCTATGCCATTGCTTTTCTCTTTCCTTCTTCTTTTTTCTTTTTCCGGGGTCTTTATATGCACATTCACCTATGATGCACCGACACTTCAAAAAAATTGTTATGTCGTGTCCGATACTTCCTGGCACTCTAAAACTCTCTAACATTCTAACACATATTGCAAAGGCTTAAAAAAAGGTTCAAAGGTTACGTTGTGTTTTTAGTTCCAACTATTAGATTCGTTGGATTACGATTACCATTTTATCGAGTTTAATATAAATATTTATGATATCTTATGTTTCTTTGTAAAATTGATAAGTTTAGTTTAATTTTTTGTTAAATTATTGAATATTAGATATAATACAGACTGAATAAATTAAAAATATTATTTAATATCCACACATATTCTAACGTGTCGAAATCTAACATTTTTTTTAGAAATAATGTGTCGGAGTATCGTGTCCGGGGTCGGTGTCCGGGCAACATTGGCATTCACTATCGTGTCTTGTGGATATGAGAAGTAAGAGGATTTAGATCCTCTTATGTGAAAAATAGTCATGTGAAACAACCATTCATTTAAAAATTATACATTTTTCTGTCTCTTATCTTATCATCAATGATTAAATAAAATGATCATGTTACCATTTTTCACATTGATCCAAATCCGAAGTGAGAACTTTTCCCTCCATGACGATGATGTTGGGAAACTTGATTTCAATACCCTTTTGCTTCAAGAGTTCAACAGATGCTTCAAAATCATATTTTTCAATCATTGATGGTAACCTATTTGCATAATGCTTCTCTTTCTCTCCTTGGCGTGGTGTGTTTCAGAGCACAGCTACTGCAAATAGGCGCAATGATACGAACCCAAGCATGGAGGGTTATGATCATTCAATGAATATAACTCAAGAACCAGAGGCAACACTTATAAGAAGACAAGGAGCAAGGATGAGGATGAGACCTGGGTGGCTGAGTGACTACGTGACTCGTGCAAGGAGAAACAAAAGTCTAAACATGTGGAACCTGAAGACCCACGTGGATTGCATACCCACTTACACCACTTGTTGGGCTTATTAGGAGGGCCAAATACCTTTATTATAGGACTGAACAAAATGAATGATAAATGAGAGGGAAGTGGCATTTTCTTTTTTTATCAAAATACTGGATAATTGATTTCAATTTTCTTTCTTTGTATTCTGGAGTTTACGGCATCCTTGAATTGCCGCCATTATAGTAATATTAAGTGTTTCTATATTCCAATTGCTATCATTTTGGTGCTTTCGCAACCCAAGCATGGAGGGTTATGATCATTCAGTGAATAT